TGGTTCGCTTGTATGGGAATGTTCAAGAAGAGAGTCTTCAAGAGGCAGCGTTAGGTTTAAGCTGGGAACCGTCAACAGCTCATCCTACCATCGAAGAGAGACGGGCTGTAACTAAAGATAGTTTGCTGAGGCTCACCGACGAGCTTGCACCCCGGAGGCCTAGGAGACTCAAACAACGGCCACCATGATGGAAACCATGTGTAGACAGGGCTCTGGACACAAGGAGTCGAAAGTGGGCGCTTTACAAACGGCTCAGTTCGTTTCAGTCATGGTGTGGCTACAAGGCACCAAGAAACCATGCACAGTCTATGCAGCGAAGGGCCATGTACGACTATGAGCATGGGATTGCGATGAGAGCAAAACAGACCCCAAAGAGGTTCTATGCTTATGTCCAATCCCAAAAGGCATCAAGAGAGGGGATTGGAACGTTAGAAAGCATTGATGGATGTCTTGCCCTAAGCAAGGCAAATACCCTTCTGGCTCTCTTTAAGAGGGTGTACAGACAGTCAGCACCGTTATTTATGGCAGATTATCCCAGTGCTACATCACAGATGACTTAAATAACTGTGACACCGTACGAAGTCCTTCACGAGTTAGCTAACCTGAATAAGTTCAAGGGAGCGAGACCGGGTGGCATCCATCCCGCTATTGTTAAACCTCTAGCGGAGATGCTCCAAGGGCCTCTGTCAAATTTGTTTCAGGTATCTCTAGATAAAACTGAGATACCGGGAGATTGGAAAAGAGCGACGGTAGTTGCTCTGCATAAATCTGGGTCAAAGCAAAAGGCCGAAAACTACAGACCAGTAAGTCCGACGTCGGTCTCATGCAAATGCCTAGAAAGGATTGTACGCAAGCATATGGCTGCGTACCTCATAGAGCGGTGGGCTACTAACGCCGGCCCAGCATGGCTTTATTAAGAGGAAGTCTTGTCTAGCAAATCTGCTTGCCTTCCTCGATGAGGTCACACGACGCTTAGACGAGGGACAGCTTGTCGAGGTCTGTTACCTGGACTTCAGCAAAGCCTTTGACTCTGTAAGTCATCAGGGTTTAGACCATAAAGTGCAACTATTAGGAATTGGGGGAAAGTTAGAAAGCGGGTCTACTGCGTTATAACTAACCGCACCTTCCAGGTGAAGGTTGGTATGCAATCATCGGTGACGGTCAACATGACAAACGGTGTCCCTCAGGGTTCTGTGCTAGGCTCACTGCTATTCCGGATGTTCGTCAACTATCTACCACGGGAAATCAACAACCCATACTTCGTGTTCGCGGACGACTTCAAAGTGGCTGGAACGAACGTATGTCAGGAACTGCAGGCTGTTATACGGTGGTCTGAAAAGTGGGATCTTCCGCTAAACCTAGCTTAGTGTCAGCTTCTAACAGCAGAAACTGAACTTGACATACAGTACGATATCCAGCTTAAGAGAGAGCGAGAAGTTAAGGAT